AGGGAGAAACCCACATGTCATGGCAGATCTTTCCTGTCTCCCCCGCTGCTCCCCTCAGCAGTGTTTTTGGTCCATCTGCCTGTTCTGCTCCCCCCTCTGCTCTGTCTCTGATGAATTCTCTCACCCTCTCGTGCCTCTGACTGTACCCCAGTTCTTGTATAAATAAATAAAAACTAAAAAAATCAAATATGAAATTTAAATGGAAAAAAGTATGAGAGAAAACATTTTAATTAGTCATTCAGGTAAGAGTTAGCAAACCAGCTGAGAATGAAATGAACTCAAGTGAACTCCAGGCACTCCCCTGGACCACACCCACACACATAAACAGAAAGGTGGTTTATCAAGATCCCTGAACTGACAATTTCCCCTATAACCTTTGGATCATTTGAAGACTATTCATAGTGATAAAGTATTTTAGGATCCTTAGGCTCTGAGGGCTTTTTTTTTTTTTAAAGTAAATTATTTTCATTTTTATTTATGCATACAAGAACTGGGGTATAGGCTAGAGGTGCGGGGCTGAGAGGATTCCCCAGAGACAGAGGGGGGAGCAGAACAGGCGGATCCACTGAAATACACTGCTGAGGGGAGCAGCAGGTGAGACAGGATAGGACTGCTGTGTCATGTGGGTCAGCATCCTGGTCAGGGATGAACTCTAGCTGCAGTGGCAGGCATAGCTTGATACCATTGAGACTTTAAACCCTGTGCCACCAGGGAGGCCCGGGATCTGAGGGCTTTTACTAAGTTACCACTGAGTACCTGCTAATAAGTAGACAAGGTATTTTTTCTTTTTTTTTTTTTTTAAGATTTATTTTTTACGCATACAAGACCTGGGGTACAGGCCAGAGGTACGGGAGTGTGAGAGGATGCACCAGAGACAGAGTGGGGAACAGAACAGGCAGACTGACCGAAAATCCACTGCTGAGGGGGGCAGAGGGGAGATAGGAGAGGTCTGCTGTGCCATGTGGGTAGCTCCCTGGCTGGGGATCGAACTCATGTTGCAGAGGCTGCAGATAATTTCACAGTGCTGTGCTTAACCCCTTGCGCCACCTAATTTCAAGCACGCTTAGGGAAAAAAAGACAATTACATTGCTTTTTTTTGGCATTAGCACCACAAATTTCAGATCAGTTGATTCTAACTTTTTGAAAGGTCAAATTTACCCAGTTTCTGGCAGATTACCTTTTAATTAAAAAAGGTTTTATAGGGCTAAAAATGTATAGTAAAACTTTTTTAAAAACAACAATTTAACCACAGGGAACTAAATTGTGATTTTTAGATATTTACATGAAAAATTCTTAATAATAATGACAAAGATAGAAAAGATATCCCATAGTGACATAAAAATTATACTGTTGACTCTGTCAAATAGAGTATGAGCTTGGAACAGGTCTGCAGGTTGTGGTTAGGTGAACTAATATATATTTATTCTCACTGTACTCCATGTTCTAATTTTGGAATATGAAGAGGGGTTATGATAATTAATATGCAACTTTTTCCACAAAGAAAAAATATCTTTTATTTTTTTAAAGGATTTATTTATTTTTATACAAGAGCTGGGGTACAGGCCAGAGGCGCAGGAGGATGAGAGGATTCACCAGAGACAGAGCAGGGAGCAGAACAGGCAGACTGACTGAAACACACTGCTGAGGGGAACAGCGGGCACGACAAGAGAGGTCTGCCACACCGTAGGGGAATCTCCCTGGCTGGCCGGGAATTGAACCTGCACTGCAGAGGCTGTGGACAGCTTCATCGCGCTGTACTCAACCCTCTGTGTCACCGGGGAGGCCAAGAAAAAATATCTTTAAACTATTTGCAAACAAAGGAGAAAGTTGAACAGTTTCCCTAATGACTTCTGTCACTGTAGATTAGTTTATTATTTTTACTTCTTCAATAAACATTTGAGTGCCTACAGGGTACACAGGCCTGGGCTCTGATGACCAGTTGGTCTGTGTCGCTTATTCAGACACATTATGTTTCCAATTATTTTTTGACAGGATTTAATTTTTTTAAGATTTATTTTATTTATGCATACAAGAGCTGGGGTGTAGGCCAGAGGTGCAGGGGGTAGGGGGATGAGAGGGTTCACCAGGGACAGTGTGGGGAGCAGAACAAGTGGACCTACCAAAATACACTGCTGAGGGAAGCAGCAGGCACAACAGGAGAGGTCTGCAGTGCCATAGGGGTGAGCTCTCTGGCCGGGATTGAACTTGTGTTGCAGTGGCTGCAGATAGCTTCATAGTGCTGAGACTTAAGCCCTTGAGCCACCAGGGAGGCCCTAGGCTTTAATTTTAAATAGACTTTAAGAGCAGTTTTAGGGTCACAGCAAAATCGAGCATACAATATATACTCCCTGCCCCAATAGCTTCCCCCACTATCAACTCCTGCACTAGAGGGGTACATTTGCTACAGTTAATGAACATGGTTGTCACCAAACTTCCATAGTTCTCACTAGGGTTCAGTCTTTGTATTAAACTCCCTATGGATTTTGACAAATGTATAATATATGTACGCACCATTATAGTATAGAACAGAATTGTTTTGCTGCCCTAAATATCCTCTGTGATATGCCTACTTACCCCTCCCACTGCTCTCCTTCCTGGCAACCACTGATCATAAAACTGGAATCACTCAGTATGTGGCCTTTTTGGATCAGTTTCTTTCATTTAGTATTATATATTTACGTATCCTCCATATTTTTCATTGCTTGATAGCTCATTTTCTTAGTGCCGAATAATATCTGGAATAATATCATACCACAGTTTATCCATTCATCTATTGAAACACATTTTGGTTGCTTCCAAGTTTGGGCAATTATAAAGAGAAGCTGCTATAAACATCCCTGTGCAGGATTTTGTGTGGACATAAGTTTTTGACTCATTTGGGTAAATCCCAAGGAGTATGATTGCTGGATCATATGGTAAGAATATGTCTAGTTTTTTAAGTAACTGTCAAACTGTCCTCCTAAGTGACAGTACCACTTATAATTTAAAAATAAATTATGAAAAATGTCTGTTTTTCATTGACTCTTTTTGATAAGTAGAAAATGGTCATTTTTATTATAAAAACAATAATGTTCATTATTCAAAGTCAACAATATAAAAAGGCATGTTAAAAAACAATACATTTCATTCATCATAGTTGGTATAATTTCTTTCAGTCCTTTTTCTGTATATAGCTGTCACATTTTAAACTTATCTAGACTGCTCACCAAAGTTTATGTTTTTATTAGATACAACCCAAATCAAGAGTCCTAACTATTGAAAATGTAACACAAACTTTTAATTACTGGTATTTTGAGCACTGTGTCACTAAGGGTATCAACTTGCCAGAGTTGAATTGTTTTTGCTTCCCTGAAGTAATTGATGTACTTGTGTTTTCCCAAAGTCTTTTCATGTCTTTTCTGGAATATGAAGCTGGAACCATTGCTATTTCATTTCTGTTTCAGTTTGGAATCAGCTATAATTATTTTGGTTTGGGTTTCGCTTGAGCCAAAAATGTGTTCCAAATATTTGGTTTGAACCAGACATTTTGAATTCTTTTCTTGTTAAGATTTTATAAACTAAAATATCTAGAGTCAATAAATTTGGGTTTTATTTGCGTCTAAAAACATTAGTCCTTAAAAAAATATGAATTCTAATATGTACTAATGTGACTGGAATGCTCCTGGAAAAAGTCAGAACTTGGTGGAGTCGGTTTTCTAAAAGAGATGAGGGCCTTTAGACAAATAAAAATACATGTTAACTACCAAGACATCAGTGGTCAGAGCCTGCTAGAAGCTGATGCTGCTGTAATATATGTAAGCAATTCACACTTCACAATATCTACAAACTGTTAGATTGGTGTATTGTGAAACTGGTGCTTTAAAATCATCAACCAGGTTTGGACAAACCAAATTTAACTAGGCTCAAGTACAACCTTATTGATCTTTACCGATGATGCTTAATTAACTCGTAAGAATATCTTCTTTTTTCCACTTTCTCTAGTCTCATTTTCCATGTTATTGATCATGAGGTATACAAATCCTTTATTGTACAGTTCCAAAAAACATTTTGGAGAAATGCAGACTATAACAAAATGTTTATATTGACCGATTATATAAATCATCCAATCTAAGAGGGGGGCATTAATTGTAAAATTAATTACACCATTATGTTGTACAGATTAAGAAAATAACACCTACCACTTAATTGACAAGGCACTGTGAGTATTGAAGTATTTTTGTAATTGTAACTGTGTTTTAGAAAAGATTAGCTACAATGGTGATGTTTTCAAAATTCTGTTCTATATCAACCAATAACATTTGGGAATTTGGTATCTAAGCACTGTTCAATATGAACATTCAACTTTTCTGATTGTATTTTATCATTTAATTGTAGTTTGAGGTAGCTCATTCAATCAATATCACAACTTTCATGAGCAGCAATCGTAAAATAAACAACTCAAAATTGAATTCAATCTGAAATCTCTCCAGGGAGGTCACGGATTATTTAAAAGGAAATCATTTGAAATAATAAACATTGTCTAAACACAAAACAATCGAGAAACAATATAAAATCATCGAAGCTAAAGAAACAAACAGAAACATTTCATACCAGATTAAAACATCTCATTGGACTTATTTAAAGATAAGATAAATACTAAGTTACCTCACTGGCCAAAGTATCAACACTTTCCATTTTAGAGCAGGGCCTTATCCACATGCGTAATTGAAATTTCCTAGTTGTTAGCCAAATAAAAAGGGTAAAACAACAAAAACGGCGGAACTGATTTAATTTAACCCAATATATTACAAATATTATCCTTCCGACATGTAACAATATAAAATTTATTAATGAGTTCTTCGACATCTGGCGAACTATTCATTCTCACAGCACATCTCACGCGTTGTACTAGTCAAATCTCAACACTCAATAGCCATATTGGCCTTATGGGGCCTCAATAGTAACTCACTCTTTCTATTCTGAGTTTGGGAATTTCTTTTCTATTACATGCTGTCTCGAAGGCGCTTAGAGATCTGCGGCACAGGAGATGATTTCCCCTCGGGTGTGCTGGGCTCCGAGACCGCCCCGCAGCGAGGGAAGGGCGCACGGCGCGGGGGCCAGCCCGGCGCCCAGGAACGTGGCAGGAGGCGGGCCGGGGCCGTGCTGGGCGAGAAACTGCGAACACCAAGCGCCGAAGCTGGATTGTGAGAACAAACTCGGGCAGCTTCCTGGAACCCCTGTTTCTGGGGCGCCCTGTAACAGATAAGAAAAGCAGCCTCCGAGCCGGACCCAGAGTCCCGCCCCGGCGCCAAGGTCTCGGCCACGGCGGACCTGGCAGGCCGGGGCCGCCGGGGGCGCCTCCGCGCGTCCTGGAGAGGTAGGCGGCGGCGCTGGCGGCGGGAGCCCGGGGCCCCGGGCCACCCCGGCCTGCGTCCAGCGCCCGGGGCGCGCTCCCGGGGTGGCGCGCGGGCGCGCGGGCGGCGGGATGGGCGGGGAGGGAGCGGCGCGCACCGCCTCCTCCCGACGGCGGGGGCGGGGCGGGGCGCGCCGGGGAGTCGGGGCGCCAGCCGCCGGTTTCGATTAGTACGCGGAGCCGCGGCGGCTGAGCAGGGCGCGGAGCCCGGCGGGGAGGCGGCGGGCGGCGGGCGGCGGCGGCGGGGCTGCGGGCGCGCAGAGGCCGGCCGCTGGCCGCGAGGGCGCGGAGAGCCAGGCGGAGCGCGGAGCCACGGCCGCCCGGACCACGGAGCCCGGGCACCGCAGCGCCGGCAGCCGCGAACGCGTCCCGGGCAGCGCGCGGACGAGGGCGCGCGGGCGGGGGCGCGCAGGTCCTGCCCGCCCCTTCCGTCCCCACCCCCCTCCGCCCCTTCCTCTCCCCACCTTCCTCTCCCCCCCTGCGCCCCCGCGCCGGGCGCCCACCCTGTCCTGCTCTTGCGGGAGCGCTATCCGCGGCGGCGGCCGGAGCGGGCCGGGCCGGGCCGGGCCGGGGGATGGCGCTGCTGGACCTGGCCCTGGAGGGAATGGCCATCTTCGGGTTCATCCTCTTCTTGGTGCTGTGGCTGATGCATTTCATGGCCATTATCTACACGTGAGTGAGGGGCAACAGGAGGAGCTGGTGGCGGCGATCGGGGCCTCGGGGACAGGCGGAGGTGGGGGATTGCTCTTCCGAGGAGACCGGGCTCGGGTGGGGGTGGAGAAAGCTCGTTCTTAGATTGTTTCCCCCATTCTCTCTCCCCTTGGACCCGCTGATGCGGGGGTCCTTGAGAGGGCAAAGCGGCGAGTGAGAGGCTGCCTGGGGGAGAGCAGACCGCTCTAACGTGCCGGGCGGAAGGTTTGCTTGCTTGGTTTGACTGTTGGGGAAATTTGTGTGATTTCCCCCCCAACCCCCATCTGGGCCAAGATGTGTGCTGTATTGTTTTTTTCTCTCTACCTGGGCCCTATTTCTACGGTGGTGATGATCGTTTCCACCTTTCTGGGAGCTGCGCACAGCTACCTGGAGACCTCCCTGAGGGTTTTCTTCTTCCTGGAAGAGATCTGTGCCCTTAGATACCTGGCCACCTAGAAACATGTCCACCAAACCTCAGAGCTGGCGCCACAGCCTTGAGTCATGTCAGTTTGTACATTTCCATGTGGTGCCGCCCCCCCCCCCAATTCCTTATTTGCTGTCTTGTTGAGATTTGTATCCCCTCCCCACATGTATCTTTTCACTATGTAATTTAACAGATACTTGTTGAGGCCTGCTAGATACAATTCACTGGGGACACAGTAGGGAGTAGAACAGATTCCTGCCCGCATATAGTTTATATTCTGGAAGGGATAGAAATAATAAAATTCCGAATAAGGTTATTTCAATAGTGATAAGACCTATGAATAAAATAGAAAAGGGTGATGGGGTGAATATGCAAGGAATATGTAGCTGTTTTTTTTGATATTTCAATTGGGTTAGTGTCTTTAAAATGAAATCAGCATCCTAAAGAAAGAATTGCATATAGCAAGTTACAGATAGATATCCTCTGACCTTTCAGCTTGAAATTAAGGTGATTGCACACCCTATAATAGGGTTTGTATTAGGAAAGGAGAAAGGAAGGCTTTTTAAAATTTTTGTTACAATTTTTCCCTTTTACTACAGAAAAAAAGGGATTTTCTTTTTGGAAATGCTGTTGTTTTTTATATATATCATAATGTGGCTGTTACTTGGTACTGTAGAAAGATGCTACACTGTGTAAGACACACCAATGTTTCTTTGAAGATGAAGGAAGACTTGCCTCTTGGATATTGTTAATCTTAGTTTGTGGAGTTTGTGGCCTGCAGTCCCTGAACACTCATTTAATTTTAAAATCAATTCTTAGAAAACAACTTTTCCAATCATAAAAATTTTCAAATGCATATAAGAAATTTAGGTAATAGAGAGTAATAAAGAAGGTTACAACACACACCAGAACTATTACCTTGCCAACCTTTTGTTGAGAGAGAGAGAGGAGCAGCAGCAGAGGGACGGGAGGGCGAAGGCAAGTGGGAGGCAGGAGAGAGGGAAGGAATGAGAGATAAAGACCATATTCTGATGTTCTACAACCAGCTTTTAAAATTCACCTATTTAATATGTGCTTTTGGGGATGCTCTTTTGTACAAGGCACTGTTCTAGGTGCTGGAAATAAAATTGAAGAACAAGACATCAGGTCCTCTGTTTACATGGAGCCTCCATTATAGTATCCTAGCCACTATTTTTCATGTCAATGATGTATGTATGATTTTTGCATCATTTTTAATAGACACATGGCATTTTTATATAAAAGGTAATAATATGTATCTGATTTTTTTTTAAAGATTTATTATTTATTTATTATGCATAGAAAAACTGGGGTATTGGTCACAGCGGGGGTGGGGGTGGTGGTGATGAGAGAATTCACCAGAGAACAGGAGGATTTACTGAAATACACTGCTGAGGTGGGCAGCAGGTGAGACAGAGAGGTCTGCTGTACCATATGTGGGTTAGCTCCCTGGCTGGGGATGGCACTCAGGTTAAATCCTATGATTTAACCCCTATGCCACCAGGGAGGCCCTGTTATCACTGATGGACATTTAGGTTGTTTCCAATTTGTCAAGATCACCAATTCATCTTTGTCAAGATGAATTCATATGATGCATCTTTGAGAGATAATCTCCTTAGTTTATGTTTCTGAAAGAGGAGTTACTGGGCCAAAAAAGGTGGGGGTACACATTCTAAACTTTGATACAGATTGCCCTGTGGGAAGGCTACTAGTCCAGGCTAGTAACATTTTATGATGGTCTCCATTTCCCCTTTTACTGGGTGTCAGATTTTTAATTACTGTTTCATTGTGTTATAAGGCAGCCCGGATACAGAACGGGATGCCTGACTGTGGGTCCTCTCCCCTGCACTTTAAAGGACTTATCAATGCTCTACTGCAGGCACACACGAAAGGTTAATAAAAGGTTTATTTACAAGGGAAGGGCAAATGAGGAAATGTACAGCTCAGGGAGAAAAATGGGAGACAAAGTTTTAAATGCATCCTACCCGATCCGCTGATCTGGAATCCCAAATGGCACTCTGAGAGCTGGCCGCCAGCCAGAAGCCTTGAAGCCAGGAGGCTAGTGACAGAGCCCCCAAGGCCCACGTGTTTGGTTTTTATTCCCAACCTGGCTGCTTAACTCCACCCTCAGGTCCCAGCCACCTTCCTTTTGGTGGTGATGGGATTTGTCTTTGCCAATGTCCTGATGGCTTTGGTCTGGAGTGGGGGTGGAGTCCACAAAGCCTGTATGGGATTAGCGCAGGACATCCTTTCCCCCTAACAATTGTAATTACTAGTTTCATTGTAACATTTTTCATATTTTATGTACTAGTTACATGTGGTTGTAAATGACATAGTCATAATATGATTTTTCTGTTCTACAGTCTATTGTTGCATTGATCTTTTTCATATGAAGGTTTTCTGTGGTATGTTGCAATGTTTTTCCAATTTTTTTCAACTTTATACATGTTAGACATGGAGAGTGTGTGTACCTATGTGTTTCAGATAGTGTTTTTATTGTCTTCTGATTTTTTTTATCTTCTATTCCCCTGAATTATTGTATTGTTAGTATCTGTTTTCTTTTAGTATTTCGATTTTTTTTGAATTGTTTTTTTACATTTTTATTGTTATCAGTATTTTGCTTTGTTATGAGAGCTAGAGCATTAATTTTAAGTTCACTTAAAGTCTTAGCCTCTCATCCCAAAACCACTTATTGAATGGGTATTTGACTATTCCATTTCAATATTATATATGATATTTCATAGTTTTGAATTATTACCTTTACTATAGACAGTTCTTTTGTATACTTGGGTATGTTTCAAGACTCCCAGTGCTGTTTCATTCAACTGTTAGTTCTTATACCAGTAATCACTCTTTTTAATTACAGTTGGCTCTTCATATCCATGGGTTCTGCTTCACATACTCAGTCAAGCATGGGTGGGGAATACAAATCTAGGATGGTATTTTGTCTGTTCTGAATATGCAGGCCTATTTTTCTTGTCATTGTTCCTCAATAGTACAGTATAACAACAATATTTACATAGCATTTACACTGTGTTAGGCAATATAAGTAGGCTAGTCATGATATAAAGTATACAGAAAATGTGTCTAGGTTACGTGCACCATTTTATATGAGACTTGAGCATCTGCAGATTTTGCTTTTTGCAAGGGTCCTGAGGGGCAACTATAATGAAGTTTTTTTAAACATTGAGGTAGTCTTGGTTTGCAATGTTGTAAGTATTTTGGGAGTAGAGGGTCCCCCCTTCCTGTGGTGCAACTTGCACCAAAGCACCCATAGTCCACCACCATAGTCATATGATGAAGTTTTATTACCTATATTACTGGTAAGGGAAACTCCTCTGTTGTTTTTTGTTTTTTGGGGGTTTTTTTGGCACGCTTTCTTAGCTTTTATACATTTTTTGCCTAAAGATCAACTTTAAAATATTTTCTTTTCAGACTAGTGTTTTTAAAATTGGAATTGTTCAATTTACAGCTCAATTAGGAGAAAATTGACTCCTTTCTACCTAGAATCATGATATATCCCCTTCTACAATACGTACATAATGATAAATCATGCTTTTTAAAGGAAAATTAGCACTAGTGATGTAGCCAAATATTCTGAATAACCATCTTGGGGAATATTTACACACTTAGCATTGAGTAAGTTCGTAGAATTGTTTCAAATGATCTTATGCTTAATGATAAATAGCAAGATATTAAAAAAAATCTTCAGTTTTGGGGGCTACTGTAAACAGCTGAGTACTGTAGAGAAGCTTTGATTTATTTCTAGTGCCTTAACATTAATTTTTTAAATTTACAATAGCAGGATCCTGAAGGTTATGTGAATATACAATAAAGAAAATGCAATTCACTTATGGCAGACTAGAATGACTTGATAATTAAAGGAATCCTGGAATTCCTTTCTCAACATAAAGCAAATAAGCTATAGCTTAATTTATGTATACATTAAATCTTACCTTTTGGGGGGAATAAGTTCCTTCTGGTGCCACCTGAAAATTAATTATATATTTGATTTCTTTCCCATTGAAATATAAAGATATTTATCAGTATGACTGTCTTCAGAGAATTAAGTTTTTCCTACCATCTCTACAATTTTTAGGAAAGTTGTAGGCTTGACATCTTAGTTTTTTGAAAAGCAAGGTTAGAGAACATTTGCCAATAGTCTTTTGGTTAAAGGCTATGTTAAACATTCTGCATCTTATTAAAGAATGTGTTTTCTGAACACATATTCTGTGTTTTCTCATTCTTTTTGAAATGAACTGAAGAATAACTAAAACCTTGTATTTGCAACTGGTGGCAGTAGAGCCTGCTTATAAAAACTTAAGGCTCTGGACTTGTCAGCATAATCTCAGACCCCCTGATTGTTAAAAATGTTTATGTAATGTAAATATTATAGTAAAATTGCAGAGAAAAGCTATAAAACATGTTCAGAAAAGTTGGTTATTTAGTAGAAACTAAACACCGTGTAGTAGAATCTAGTTAATTTACATTCAGTATTCTACTTATCTTCTTAGATAAAGAACTAAGTATTGGCCTGTGT